TCTTTTCAGGTCATCTCATTGGGAGATGCATAAGATGCTGTGTCACCGTGAATCAGCGCGTGCCAGCAGAGAACAAAACGGGCTCACTTTGCAACAAAACACATCTTATTATGTAGCTTATCACACAAGTCATAGGTTTTTCTTTATGAAAGCCATGCTTGTTGGGAATTTAACAGTCATCATCTCATGACCTCCTCAGGACCAGCTCACCAACAACGCCTAACTGTCTTCATACCCCCAGGCCATCTCTGAACTTCCATACACCCGAAGTCAGCTCACCCAGAATCAGAAGGGCCATTGTCTCTCTAATTGTGTGACTCAATTATCCTGCTCTTTTAGGAGTCTTGAAATGAACGCACATACATTTCTCTCACAAACTAACACTTAACATCCCATAGCCTATATCAGGTGACATAAAAATGAATATACCAGAATTACGCTGTATCAAACTTTTTGCCATAATACTTTACATCAATCTCCACACTCTGTACTGATTTTAAGATATTTTCATAGTTCATACAATCATACGTATTGGGATCATTTGTATTAATGTGGACCGGAGGGAGAGGGTGATGAGCATACGTTTCACTTTTCTTTTTTATTTCAATTCCAACTTTGGTCATGAAGAATATGTTTCTCTGTTGTCCACGTTCATAAAGCAACAGCATCAGAGCACGGTGCAGAGTCTCTAGATGAGTTTACAGTAGTCCCTCGTTCTTATTAAACATCCATGTTGTAGTCCGTTGTATAGAAAACTGTAGTTTCCATAGTTTCCCCACAGCAGCAGACGCACATTCATGACGTCTGCTGGCGCATCATAAACACGTCGGATAGTGAAAGTGCAGTCGGATTCTCTAAAGTACCGCAGTCTCTTCTCCTAAATCCTTTTGAATTCTCCTATCCACTATTCCTTAACCCCGTGAAGTTTCACTCAGAGGTCAAGGAATAGGAGATAGGGTTAGAATTTAGGAGCTGATTTTTTGATTATCTGACCGCAACCCAGGAGTGCTCTCTTTGTTTCAAATGATGGCCCATCGGAATGTGACAACTCTCCCTTCGCCCTTCTTCTCCATTGCCGGTATACAGTAGGTCTTGATAAATGGTATAAAACAATTAAAACATTGCAAGCTGAGGCTGTGAAAATGGTTGTAATATTATTGCCATAACAATCACAAATGTAGTTTATTCACAAATGTTGTGCAATGACAAAATCAGACAGTTATATTTAAAAATGGTCTGGCTTTAATACAAATGAAATACTGTAGGCTCGACAGCCCCCCTCAAGGTGATCAACACCTGCAGGGCAGCATTGCCGGTCTGAAAGGGTCTCTGGAATGTCAAACATTTAATTAAAGTTTTAAAAACAGTGACGGGGTCCAAACTCAGAGGTGGAAGAATTATTCTGATTATTTACCTAGGTAAAAATACATGTTAGTGTAAGTAAATGTCCTGCATTCAAAATTGTCAATTGCCCAAGTATTATCATCTGAAAGTAAAATGAATCATTATGTTATTAGTATTAAATACATATAAGTATTTTTACAACTTATATTTAGAAATACTCCGTTGTAATTATTGATGCATAAATGTGTTCATCCATTCAATGTGGCATCTGCTATAATGGGGTTAATGTATGATATTACTTAATAATACAATACATTATTAATATTATTTTTATCGCTGATCTTATTTTTGATTGTATTAATCTGTGAATTTGTGCTATCCTGTTTTTCACTCTTACCCTGTTGCTGTTTGAACAACTGAATTTCCCCACAGGGATTAATAAAGGTCCATCTTAATTTATCTTAATGTATGAGTTGATTTACTTCGATCTACTGTACTGTGTAAAAACACCCCAACAATATTACAAAAAATATAGTGCATATTAAAGCAAACTATTGTATAGGTAGGTATAAGCATAACAAATAAAGAAGTGTAAACATTTACATTATTATTATGATTTAATTAGGGCTGTCAGTCGATTAAAATATTTAATCGCGATTAATCGCATGATTGTCCATAGTTAATCGCGATTAATCGCAAATTAATCGCACATTTTTGATCTGTTCTAAATATACCTTAGAGGAATATTTTTCAAGTTTTTAATACTCTTATCAATATATGAGTGGACAAATATGCTTTATGCTAATGTTTATTATCATTTGAACAATGACAAATATTCTCATGAATATTAAACACAACAACCTCTGAACATTACAAATATTCGCCTCAATCCAACCTGGAACCTCTAATACCATACAAAGTGTGTGTGTGTGTGTGTGTGTGTGTGTGTGTGTGTGTGTGTGTGTGTGTGTGTGTGTGTGTGTGTGTGTGTGTGTGTGTGTGTGTGTGTGTGTGTGTGTGTGTGTGTGTGTGTGTGTGTGTGTGTGTGTGTGTGTGTGTGTGTGTGTGTGTGTGTGTGTGTGTGTGTGTGTGTGTGTGTGTGTGTGTGTGTGTGTGTGTGTGTGTGTGTGTGTGTGTGTGTGATGGATCGTTGGAGCTATGTGCAACTCAAGGCATATGCTCGAACGGGAGCTGCCTGGACGCTGCAATCATGTTGCGCACTATCCGTGCTGAGTGTGCTGACTTTTCGTACAATGTCCCACTGTCTGGCTTCCTGCATAAAGTCAAGTGCTCGGCGCAGTTGTGGCGAAATGTCGCTCCTCTGTTTTCATTTAAACAGCTCCTTATATCCGTTAGCGCAGCTTGCTAGCACCAGCAACAGCAACAACAATGCACGTAAGGTCTCTCTCTCGCTCGCTCGGGCCACACATACACACACCCTCCCGGTCCTCCCAATAGCCAGTTGGTGCCTGCCGGTGAACGTGGAAGTGTGGTCTGCCACAAACGGGCGGCAGGAGCGGGGCTGTCAGCATCAGCTTGTAGATGGTATTTTAAACTCGATGCGCTCTGAAACTACGGGGCGGCCGAGGAAAAAAAATACACATGCGTTAATCGTGTTAAAATAATTAGTGGCGTTAATTTTGTTTTGCGTTAACGCGTTATTAACGCGTTAACTTGACAGCCCTAGATTTAATATATAAAGACTATATATTATTGAATTACAATTAAGATAATAAGATTAGATATACTTTATTTCAGCTAAAATATTGATGTTTTTTCGTTATAGTAGCCTGTGAAAACCATAACAAATATGTGTTTAAATGCTCTTCAGAAAACCCAACTGCAGAGCTGCAAACATTACTGAAAGTCCAGGAAACAAACTGAAGAACAAAGTTCACCCATGTCTTTGTGTATTTGTGAATGAAGCGCCATCTCATGGTTAAAGAGCAACTTCCAGGTTAAAGACACCTGTGAATAAATGTGTAGGAAAATGATGAATACACTAGATTTTCAAAAAAATATACAGAAATATACACTACAGTGACAACAGGCGTCGTTTTTGTAAGAAATGTTCACTGCCGCATAAAAAAGCCTCGGCACGTGACCTCCCGCGTGTGACGTAACAAAGGGTAAACAAGGGAGAGAGCGGCCGGTGTAACGTATTAATAAACATGAATCATATATCAGGCTATAACTAAAGTAGTATTGATAATATAGTAATGTTACTGGCAGGACTGTTGATACTGATCCATAACAGAAACTAATGCGCAAGTATCAGCCATATCTCGCGTTACCTAATGCAAATCCACACTACGTTACAGTGCTGTACCGGAGGGGAGAGAGAGAGCAGGGAAGGAGGGGGGGGAAGAGCAGCGAAGGGGGGGAGAAAGATGTAATACGGTTTCCTGATAAACGTTTTGTTTTGTACGTGCTTGTGTGGGGAATGCCAGCCCATGACCTCAGCTGTGGAGAGCATGTGCTGCAGGGAGGTGGATCCCTTCTGGGCCCTGGTGGAGAACCTCACCCCCAGACCAGACATAACATGCCTGACACTGCACCCATGGCTTTGAAGCATGCTGTCTGAATCCCTTTGTGCTACAGATAGCCTACATGAACTTCAGGCAGGAGCATGGCCCGCTTCAGGCCAGCAGACATGAGTATGTTTAGATTACAATTAAAAAGATAAATACTATTCAAGATAATACAGTTGCTATTGACCCCGAGTGTTTAGCAGGTTTCAAAACCCAGAACCTGTAGATGATATACTATATAACACTTGTTGATGATGTTAACAAGGCTATCAAGTTTACCTGTAGATATTGTGTCCCTATCCCCAGGCAATACCGCTACACAGCTTACAGGCAGGTCATCCGCTGGGCCTATGGAGTTCTAGGCAGGCACATTAAGAAGCCCTTACCCTCATGTGTTGTGTCTGCCATCAGAAGACAGTTCCCAGAAGAAGGAGGAGGAATTTACAAAGGTTTTGAGTGGCCTCATTTTGGTGACGATCAATACAATTAATCACAATCATAGTGTGTTCGCACTATGTGTTCGCATACACATGCATTTCCAAACATTTTGTCTACCTATGCTGATAAATGTGGTATTTTTTTCAATTTACACAAATAAACATTGATTGATTGATAGATAGTGTCTTTTCATTAATAACCACCAAAATACGTTATTTGAACACATACAAAAATCGTATGGCCCGCCCTAATACACCAATGCAGTTTTTAAAGATATACATTTTTCAACACAATCATTTACCAAATTACACCATATCCAATCATTTTACGAGTCAGAAAATGCTATCAGTTCATTGCAGTTATTGTTTATTGAATTAGATTACCATGACCTCAACATAATTATGTAGAGTACAAGTCCACAGCCAAGAAGATGTTACTACTTCTTAGTTTTTGCAACAGTCTGTAAATATACACAACTTTATAATAAAATGCACACATTTTAAATATAAATAGAATATGTTTATATATTAATATGTTCATGTGTGGAGAATCTCACTGGACAGCAGCAAGGGAGACCTCTAAGCGAGCCAACAAGTTGGATGAAGAAGGTGTTGAAATTGCTGTGTGTAGGCATGTTTTCCTTTAGAATCTGCTGGTTTCACACTAATTTCCTGTGTTAAGATAAAGGCCAACTGCCTCATCCTTGGCGATCTCCTGGCAGGAAGTGGAAAGGGGGGCAGGGGCAGTGGAGGACAAGACTGCACTGCTCTCTCGTAGAGTCTCTGGTGACCTGGAGTAGCCCTCACTCAGAGACTCCATCAGGGCTGCAGCGTATGCTGAAGGAAGGAAACAAGTGATCACAGATGCATCACACAATAAATAATATTTAGGGACCGAGTAAAACAGTGTTGGCGCCAGAGTGGTTTCAAAACCCACCTCGGCCCCGCGTGTCGTTTGGCGAGCTGCTTGAAATCACAACAGGAAGGAAATCAGAAAACACCAGGATACCAGTTAAACAATAATCTGTTTTAATTATAAAAGGTAATAATCCAATGCAATACAATTCAATATAATACAATTAGGAGCACTCCTGCTCTGGTTTCTCGTGCTGTTGTGATCTTTCGGCCTTCGCAGCAGGAGGAAAAAGAGAACGAACCCAATACAGAGCAAGCTTATATTATACAACAAGACGGGAGGAGCTGGGTCAGGTCATCTCATTGGGAGATGCAAAAAGATGGCGTGTCGTAACGAATCAGCGCGAGCCAGCCAGATAATAAACAAGTGTCTCTGAGGTTGTAGCAAAATACATCTGGTGTCCGTTATCTCACTTTCTTGCATAGACTTTCACACACACCCTTTTCTGCACATTCCAGAGGCTTGAGCTGTGTCCAAAGAATATCCCCTTGCTCACAAAGATAATCATTTCATTTCTCATATCTCCATCGTTTGTTTACACAGACTGCTATTATTAATACAAAGTAATTAAACACACACATATACCATTCAAGATATGTAGAATAGATTTCCCTGTTTGTTGGAGATCTTAAGCAGAATATCCCCTCCCCCACCTAGTCTCCTGTCCTGCACAACTGCATCCCCCTTTTATGCAGAGTAATAAAACATGTTTAAGCTATTAAACTACTCCACAATGTTGTAGCAATTTTACCCACACACATGAAAGAATACAGCAGAGAAGTCAATAGAATGCAACCACAGGCATTGCTCAGCACAATTTAATACATACATTTTATTCAGACCTTAATTGTGTGACCCAGTTCTCAAGGCCCTTTTTATAGGTCTGCCTGTCATGCATCATTAACTACAAGAATGTAACTGCCTTCTATCTGGGGAAAATGTCCCTTGGAGTTCCCTTGTTATTTTGCAAAGACCATTGATGATTACCTAAGAAACTCATGGCCTCGAACTGCAACAAGGCTTTCTGAAAAACACTTAACGGGTAATCTTTTCACTTAAAACAGAACTCACCAGTTATACTGCACCTTACTTACTTGCAACTAGCCAAAAAACCACCCTTTTGATTATATGTAAAAGTGGAAGAAAAAGACTATTGCGCTAATCTACTTTTAAGAAAAAGGGAACATTGTTGAATATAAAAAACCTCTATATTTAAGAGGAAAAATGTACTTTGTTCCTTCAACTATTAACACACAGGAATGTATAAAACCACACATATATTAGTGATAACATGATGCAACACACCTCTTATATATCAGGTGTCATTAAAATGAATATACCAAAAATACGCTGTATCAACTTTTCACTTCAAACTTTCAAGTTACTTCAATTTTCGCACAACAGCTAACCGTATAATGGCTTCTCCTTGATAGGGCGAACTACCCAGCCATCTTTGCAGAACCTTGGGTAGCGAACTGCATAACGCACCTCACCATCACTGGTTCGAGCAACCTCTCTGCTGCTATTATGGTTAAAGTGCAGGGCTGCCATGAGAAGCCTGTAGAAAAAGCAGATTATGCCGTTCACAAGTTGTTTGTACATATGTGAATAAACTGTTTAACTGATAGCATTAGTCGGTTAAACTTCGTATTGTCCGTTAACGGTTAAATGGTTAATTATTAACATCCCTAAGCTGTACACATTCTTTCACCATCACATCATATTTACCTGCTGTACATCCCAAGGAAGGAGAACCCAGTGTGCTTTGGTGCAAAGTGGAGGATGAGGGAGTGAAATGCCTCCAGGGAATAGGTCTGATGCTGTGGAGACAACTTCCGGACATCCTTCACCAATGCTGTTCTCAAAGTCACCCTCTCCAGTTTAATGGCTGAAGTTGTTCCTGTACAAACACATATTTTGTTCTGATGTTACTAGAATTGTCTACATATGCATGTATTACCTACAATGATAAAGCACGATTGTGTGATACTATCAGGTGTTATTTATATAACGCCATGTTAATGTGTTAGCACACTTTGGGTTATATATTGATGGAGGGCTCTGGAACCAAAATAAACTAACAAGCACTTGGACGACTAAGATGTTTCAGCAACACAGTGTACAGAGTACGTTACCTGGTTCCAGACACTCCTTGTCCCTTGCTTCTCCCTCCAGAGGTGGATGTGCACAGCAGGGAAATGCAGGAGTGCCGTGTTCATGGATGTCCTGAACATGATTCACCATACTTTGCCACTTGGCTTCCATCACATCTGGATCTCCATCAGAAGTTGAAGCTGCAGTCCAGTACAGGTGATTGATGATGGCTGGCCTCCACAGCTTCAGGTCCTCACACTCCCTCTCCTTTGCAGCAGCATCCAAAGCTTTCCCTAGACCTGTTTCACAACAGAAACAAAATGTTAAAAAAGAAAATGTAATTATAAACAAATTTCAGCCTAATCAAACCTACCAACATCAAGAAACATTCTTTTACCAATATGCCAGATATCAAAGAAATGACTCGTTCCTCCTGGACACAACTCCTCCCGCACCCACTTGGCAACCTAAAGAGTGAAACACAACACCTTAATTACTTAATAACTAGTAAGAAAATGTAGTTTTTGCTGTTAATATGGTGCGCCAAGAATCTTTGTGTGTACATGTCTGTTCGTTCTTGTGTGTCTTTACCTGGCGATTTCGGTCCGTAATAATTGCTGAAACTTGCATGTGTTGCTCCTTAAGGAAGTCAATGCTGCGTTTCAGACCCTCTAGTTCACACCAGGTGCTGCTTGGGACCTCTGAGCTCTGTAAAACAACATTATGCAGTCATATCACTAACCGTGTCACATCAGACGAAAGCACATCTGATTTGTGTGACTGATAACGTTAACTTACCTGGACAAGTTGAAGATCCAAAACCTTGTTTATTCTGTCCTCGATCAAGGAGTAGGTGCCATATTTGGCACAATGGCCAGGAGAGTCTGACCTATGAGTGTCAAAAACAGTTTAATTCAGACGTTAAAGCCCAAAAAACAATGCAATGCAGTTATTGTAAGTTGCTTTGGATAAAGCTAAATGAATGTAATTGAAATATTGTTTTTGACCTCTTTTTGATATCAATAATACAAGCTGAAGTGTTCTACCTGCAGTCACCAGAGAGGATTAGCCCACCCCCCATCTCCTTCAGTTCTCGGATGATCCCAGCCTGCTCATTTTGCCAGGCCTGCACGATAGTAGGGATTGTGTACAGGCGTTGATGGCGGAAGAAGGTGCCGACACTGATGCACTGAAGCCCTAACAGTTTCAACATCCGTATTGTCTGGGTAGCCATGCAACCTGAGAAGTGGATGGCCCCACTCAGTAACAGGTTGCAGGCTGGCATGTTTCTGTACAGCATTGGCTGGTTCTGCCAAAAACGCTCATACCCACATGCTGCACATACCTAAGAGATGTGAAAAGCAGAACATTGCCAGTACAACTCTTAGTCAGTCAAAAATCAATTATACCATAAAACTAATGAAGTATAGACACAGTGAATTGATAAAACATAAAAATAAAATAAAACAAATATTTACATACAGGTTATGATACAACCTTTATTTTTACATCAGTGGAATTCACACATATCCTCTTACTTGTTGTATCTTTATATATGTTCCCTCTTGCTGCTCCACATTACCCTGGGTTTCCCCACAAGAGGAAGGGCAAATGGTGAACAAGGACATCAGCTGGGTTTGGCACACAATGAACTTGTCAGCAGCACTGAAAAAAAAAAAAACCACTTGTTATTTCTGACTGACACAATTTGGGAATACACATCATCTCAAATTAAAAGAAGCCTTACTTGAGATCAACATTAGTTCGCTGCAGGGGCTCTTTTGATGGTTCCTCGTCAGACGACTCGCTCATCATTTCCTCCTCTGGGCTCCATGGCATATCCCCAGGGTGGTCCATGGTTACAGAAGATGCCTCATCATCACTGTGTGCAGGACTGGGCAGTGGAGATTCTGTCTGACACCCCACACTGACCATCCTGGGCTGTACCTGGACAGCTAGGATAAAAATATATATATTATATAATTGTGCCTGCCATAAACAACAGCCCTGCCATACAATCTACCTTTACAAAGCTTATGTTCAGGTTTTGTTGACATTCGGGCTGAGATGTTTTAATTCATTTATATGTTAATTATTGAGGTCATAGCACGTCTCGGAGTTGTAACAGCCTGCATCATACTGAGATGTTTTTCTAATATGTTTTTAACATGTACAAAAACTATGCCGAGTCTTTACCTGTCTTTACCTTTTCTGTGTTACATTTATCTGATGAACGGTGGAAAGGTCTGAGCTTACACTGTGAGCCGCAGTGAAGCACAGATGTTGGCTGAGGAACCAGTGGAGAGACGACCTCTTGCTCTGGGTCTATAAGCCCAGCATCACTGGCTGTAGGTGAATCTGCAGTACTGTTGTCTCCCAAAGTCTTGAAAACACACACATGAAACACATGATTACACATGCAAATAAATAGCACACGCGCCATTAGCTATGCAAATAAAGTCCCCACGCCAATTCTAGCTAACATTATCCATTATGACTTAGCAAGTGGGTTTAACAAGCTAGCAACATTAACTTACAACAATAAATACTAAACACATGTTGCTTGTCATTATTGAAATCATTATACTGACTAATTTGGAAGTTAGCAAACGTTAGAAAAACAATACTTACGGTGCACAGTTCACGTGTTCGTTTTGCTGAATCTCTGACCGACGCTCCCGCGCTCTCACTCCCGCCGCTTCCGGCGGCTGCTGCTGCTCCTGCCGGAGCTGTGTGTATTGACGGAACCGCACTAGCTATCAGCCTCACACGGTCCTGGCTTCAATATCCCATACTGCACTCCCTCACATCACTTGACTCATAATCCTCCGGTCGAAAATGAGCGCCACAAACGACTGCGTTTTTCGTCACAGACGCAGCATTGAAGTTCAGTGTCTTTGTCTGCACAAAACGAACCCAGGACCAAAAGCTAGCTAGCTTTCTTTTCCTGTTAGGGAAACTGTGGACTCGATGTCCTGACAGGCTGGTGTTTGTGCAACCTGCACACACACAATACTGCACCATGATTACAAATGGTGAAATACAATGTAAAAATACCAGCTCACTAAAACACAACCGCTCAACTCAACGCAACTACTAACTATACCCGCGGTCAGAGAGCGGAGATGTTTACCCTTTGTGATGTAATATGACGCGTTTGACGTATGACCTTAAAAAAAAGCCGTTTTTTAGAGCAGAGCTCAAAATTGCTCCTTTCCCTCTGAATTCCTGCCCTTATGTCTCGTAAAACATATCAAATCCTACATTCACTTTTTTTAATTGGAATTTTCAAGCAAGTTTAAGCATAAATGTAGAAAAAAAAAAAAACCTGCAAGTTGCTCTTTAATTGGAAATCTGGCAACGCCCTCTCAGTAGTAGTGGGAGGGCTTTACATTTCCAGCCACTGGAATCCGTTGGGTGGGGTCCATTCTAGAGTGCTACATCTGTATGTAGATGTGTTTAGCAAAGAGCGAAGTGTTCAAATTCCATCAGCAACCCAAAATAATCTTGGTCCTATATAACCATCAATATTTCAATGCGACATTGGAATCAATACGGACTGATGATGTAAACAAAGCCAGGTACGAAAGAGAACAGGCTTTAATGACTTCAACAACCCAACAAAAAAAAACCTTGAGTCTCATTAGCCATCACGTATTCTAATGTAGTCACACGATCAATAGATATAGACAATGAAAAAGTGGTCCAACAGGACATCACTGGTCAGGATAATTGAAGTCACTGAGCCATCCACATCTCACTGTGACTTTTGGAGGAATAAAAAACTGTTAATTCTGCCATCAGGAAAATAGGAAGGACAATTTGCAAAGGGTATGCTCGTTTTCGGCACCAGTGTAAGCTAAAATAAGGCTTGGTAGGTGAGGTCAGCACTTAATATTGTGCCAGTTGACCCATCTGTCAGTCAATACAATGAAATGGACCAAACAAAGAGCATTGTCCAGTAGAGAATCAATATGCCGTAAAGTTATTGTCATATTTCTTACAAACTTGATCATCTCAAACTCCAGCTCTAAAACAATCTACTGTCCCCTTGTTATAGTGGTAGTTATTCAATAAAACCAGTAATGCAATTTCTTTATTAGGATCCACATTTGCACTAGCGTGAGCATTGGCTGTTCGTCTTGGGGTCCACAATTCAATTTAGTTTTTGTTCGGAATATCGAAGAAACCAGCAAGAGTTAGCTTGATTTGACCTTTTTCTTTTTCTAAATAACAAACGCAACCCATTGATGTCAACGGATTTACATCGTTGCTCTATGGCCGACAGATTGGGCTGTGACAAGCTAACTTATATAATGTATGGGAGCAAGCTTCCTCTGGTTTGGGATCAAGCTAAAAAAACAATATCAAATAAATCGATAGTAGCGTAACAAACAAAAATCAAGGGGCGAGGCTAGTCCACCATAACAAATCTGGATTCTTTATCAAATCAATGCACAAATAATAATTTTTGCCCAGGGTTTGTATAGCTGCACTTTAAAATAGCTTTGAATATGTGGTATTATTAGAATGTTAACACAATCCGGCAAAGCTATGAGTTGAACAAACATGCACTTACCATCGGTAACCATGGGTGGCACTGTGACAGAGCGGATCACATGAGTGACTGACTCCGCCACTGACAGCCGACACACACACGCACACACAGTCACACACCAAACATTTCCTGCTCTCTTCCTAAAAAGGAACCATGCAATGTATTATTTATTGTGTGTTTGTTAATTTGTTAAATGATTATGTTAAGAGGTGGTTAACCTGTTTATGTTTGGGTCGGATTTTTTTAATGTTGACAATGTGGTTTGAGGTAATTGCGTCACCTGTTGACGGTAAGTTTGTGGGAGGGGCTATGGGTTCAACATTGACGGTTTTTGGCCCTGGAGGATCACTGGAAGAATGTTGCAATGAAGGCAACAGCTGGGACATGTTCAGGAGATGGTTGCAGAGAAGGCAACACCAGAGCATGTTTACTCTAATGAGTGATGGACGGCCTGTTTTGGATTTTTATTTTGCTGTTTAAATTGTGCTGGTTCCGTTTTTTTTGTTTTGTTGCTGTTATTAAAGTTTTGGAGCTTAACCCGACCGACTAGGCCAGTGTTTGTGAACGGACAAATAGAGCCCCGTCACAGGCACCAAACAAAATATGACTGAAATCTTAAGAATTATAATGTATTCATTTATTTATATTTGTCGTCAGTGGCGGCGCCAGAGATTTTCTCTAGGGGGTGCTGTGGGGTAGCTTGACGTTTCATAGAGGGTGCTCAAACATTAAGGGTTTTCTATGGAAGCAAACAAGAGACAGAAGTATTCGAATTGTATTAGACAATTCCTATTAGACTACAAAACTATTCAGTGTGCAGGTCTTTGTGTTACAATACAAGTGTCTCTTAGTGAATGTCCTGTACTGCTCTTAAATCTCATCACATCAGCTTTTCCTTTCCCTCTTGGATGTTCTTCTGGACCCTCAGAGAAAGAGAACATGGTGAAGCAGTCCTGTCTCTCAGGCGTGTCCTTTCCTAACAGAAATATCAAAAAACATATTATTGCTGAGCAAGTGTGTTATTTAAGAAAGAGGTGTGTTTGTTTGTTCATAAATATAATGATTTTTTATTTGAATGTGTTTTTTAAATCCAACAGTGTACTGCAAAGATAATCAGATTATGAATAAACCGTTCTAAATTCATCAACATTGAAATAAATGTATTATTAAAATAATATTTAACTGTTATCAAAACTTAGTGCAACTGTAGAAGCTTGCTCTGTCCGGTTGTCTCACTGAAAGACAAAGGGTCGCAGCTCTCACTATGTGATGTTGCTTGGTAAAATGTAAATGTAACCTTTTGCTAAGAAAGTCCACTCAACATCACTGATGTGTAGGTGATCTAGTATTCAGTCATGTTTAATGGCATGTCTATCAGTGTATTAGAGTCATTACTTTATGCATTCTTTGTAAAGCATGAAAAAGGTGTACCTTGGAATCCGTGCTGAAGTTCTCTGCTGCTAGGACTCCAGATCTGTCTCTCCTCCTCTGGTCCAGGTCTGTCTCTCCTCCTCTGGTCCAGGTCTGTCTCTCCTCCTCTGGTCCAGGTCTGTCTCTCCTCCTCTGGTCCAGATCTGTCTCTCCTCCTCTGGTCCAGATCTGTCTCTCCTCCTCTGGTCCAGGTCTGTCTCTCCTCCTCTGGTCCAGGTCTGTCTCTCCTCCTCTGGTCCAGATCTGTCTCTCCTCCTCTGGTCCAGATCTGTCTCTCCTCCTCTGGTCCAGGTCTGTCTCTCCTCCTCTGGTCCAGATCTGTCTCTCCTCCTCTGGTCCAGGTCTGTCTCTCCTCCTCTGGTCCAGGTCTGTCTCTCCTCCTCTGGTCCAGGTCTGTCTCTCCTCCTCTGGTCCAGGTCTGTCTCTCCTACTCTGGTCCAGCCTGTCTGGATCACCTTAAGGAGACTTTGAACAAACAGATGTAAAGTTACATGCGTGGGTTACAGACTTCTTTCCATGCAAACAACTTTTTATCTTCTTTTAAAAACAGGTCATAATCTTATTGTTATACTTCAGAAATGGCTGGATATCACAGTCCTTATACTGTATCAGTTTGATTGAGTATTATTGTGTAGGTCCTTTTTATTTTACTGTTACTTTGGATGAGGTTTTCATGAGTCAGTCAAATTAATTTGTTTTCATATGCCATATTCATATGTATCACACACATAGGGGTAAGACACAAACCTATTGAACAAATGCAATGCAATGGATAAGCTTAATTTCCACTGAAGTCACAGATAACGTCATATATAATATTTAAACAAATCATTTCCTTGTCACTAAAGCATTGACTACGCTATTCATCGTCCTTAAATGCAGGAATTAAGTTACATGTTCTGTTCTACAGCCACGATGAGGCTGTTTCTCAAGTGTGAGGATAATACAATTAAAAGAGGCATTGGTAATAATATTAAAACAACAATGTTCGTCGGATAGGCGGTTAGCTGCAATAAATAACTCCAGTTCAACAAACCATATTACAATATCTAAGGGAGCGTTATTATCTTGAAATGTGACGTTCATATTTTAAAGATACACATATTTCATTGTGAGGTTGATTTAATATACACTAAGCCTCTCTTCAACAATACGTTGACGTTAGCTAGTCTATTGTATGCTATAGTAGAGCATAGCGAATTTAAATGAACCTTAACAATGCATACAGTAACCTAAATAGCAAACTAACTATCTAACGTACAAAGATGACCTTATTTTAGCAACCTCGCACAGAAGCCTTTTGGTAGACAGTAGCATCCCACTTAATGTTTTACACTCTTGGATGCTACGCATAGCATCGTTAGCACAGATGGAGCTACGATTGCTCAAATGCTACCCCAACTCTAAACATTCATTAACGTTAGCTTAATAAAAACACCAGTAACATAACATAAAGTACGCAGGGTTGACTTACCGAAGAAACTGCATTCATGGACGGTCTGTTTCAACGGCAGATAAATCCTATATTTGCAGGACGAATAGTCCACCAGGAGCCAACACAACAAACACGGCCGAGTTCAAGTAGTGTTCTCCTCATGAGCTGAGCCGCTGTAGCATCACGGAGCTAACGGAGCTAGCAGAGAGGAGCTAGGAGCAGCAGTCCCGTTGTCATGAAGGGGGAATCTAAC